CCCCAAAACCCCAAAACCCCAAAACCCCAAAACCCCAAAACCCCATGACTAAGAATTGGCACTGAAATACCGAATTATGAGAACTTTATAGAATATTTGAAGTATCTGCAATTTTCGTATAGCCTCAATATCTCCATTGATAACCTACACATCCTGACTACCTTTTCTATCTTTTTCTTGGTAATTGTGACGGTATTAATCTCGACAACACTAATGCATTTCTTTAATGGCGACTTGTTCACCTCCTTTAAAAAGCAGCACAGGCTTTCTGATTGGAGCTCTTTAGAACTTGGTAGGAACTCGCAGTAATCCATTTTAAGAAGATCGATTTTACCTGTTTTGCTTTGAACAAATTCGATCTTCTGGAAGTCTATGGAACAATGTTCGAAGCTTAAAGTATTCAACTTCCTTGGACTATATATAATTTTCTTAAAACATTTCTGAGGAATATGAAATCCACACAAAACCAAAGATTTTGATAAGTGTGGTATTGTCGAGGATAAGTGTCTAATCAATGGATAGATATTCTTTTTCTCTTCACCAGGGCTATACACATTGAGGACTACCTTCTGAGACCTTCTAAGAAGTATTTTCTCTAAATACATCTTCAACTGTCTCAAAAGATCCTCATCGTTAAGTACGACCTTATTTATATCTAAACATTCCTTTTATCGATAATTTCTGGCACTCTTTCAGGAAGCTATTTTAAGCTACTGCTTTTCGACTATAGGCAAAAAGTTAATAAAAGCGATTATCTTCAGGCTATATAATAGCAACGTACCTTAGTACTTCTTAAAGAGGTGAGATGTATCTCCAGTAGCTTCAGGGTCTTACCCAAGTCATACTTATCGACCAGGTTTTCTAGAATCTTTGCATCCATTGCAATCTTTTTGGCAAGCAATTTTCTCTCCGATTTGATCTTTCCTTTGTCTTCTTTAGATTTTGAATAATTTTTTCCCATTTTTATTAATTATATCACTTGCGATTATTCAATACGCTCACAATAAATAGGGGTTTTGGGGTTTTGGGGTTTTGGGGTTTTGGGG